AAATCCTTGAATGCAGCAATAGATATATTCTATAATCATGCTGGTTCACTTTCATATTACCTTTATTAGAACAGCAATTGAAAAAAAACAGAAGTAATTTTGTGTTGTCAACTTTTCCTACCAATTGTTGTTCATTTAATTCAGTTAAAGGCCAGACTTTTATAAGAATGACTGTGACCTCCCACCTATGTCACCGGCCATAGACGTTTATTTAACTCACATCCCAATCCAGTTTCAAACTCAGAGAAAAGAACAGTGTCAGAAGATTTTTCCAGCTTCTAAGGGCAATGCACAAGGGTGAAAAGGCTTCCCAGGCAGTGTCATTATAAACATGCTGGTGTCCCCAGAATCATCAAACATCTATGAAATAAAAGTCTTGCTGTTCTATTGACACGGATTTTAGCCAGTGTGTGACATTCTTGTTTGTATTGATTCTTTTCTCTCTCTTCCAACGTTTATGTACTATAACAGCCTGGTTCAAAGTCGTCTGTTGGTTTTGTCATGCTATATTCCACATGACAAGTCTGTAGTCATCAAAGATGTGAAATATTTATTCTAAGTAACATTATACAGTGGAGTTGGATTCCACTGGGACAGAAGCAGACTTTACATAGAACACCTGCCTTGGAATTAAGTATGATTGAAGAGGTAGGAAGGGACTCCTATTAAGAATAACAAACCCATGCTTGTAAGCCCAGCACTGGGAAGGCTAAGGCAGAAGGATTATAGTTTCAGTACAATCTGGAATACATAGCATGCTTAATAAAGAAAAGATTAATAAATCCTTCCTCGTGGTAAGTTTCATACATATATATATATATATATATATATATATATATAGAGAGAGAGAGAGAGAGAGAGAGACAGACAGACAGACACACACACACACACAGAGAGAGAGAGAGAGAGAGAGAGAGAGAGAGAGAGAGCTATTCTCTGATCTCTGACAGAATTTAATTCTTTAACACCAAAATGACACTTGCAGACGGTGAGAGGCAACGAGGCAACACCCAACTGGTACAATGTGGCTGAGAAATCCCTGGCATACATCTGTCATCCAGACTTTCAAAACATCTACAGTCTTAGAAAACAGGTCTCACAGCCCTTCTAAGGAACACTGGATAGTAGCCCAAAAGAGGGATCCCTGAGTACACAAGTCTGGCTTAAGATCTGAATGTTCACCATATCACTAAGATTTGATAAGGTCCTTTCCAATAAATTGATCATCACAAATACCTTTCATAAACTACCTCTGGCTGTGGTGCACACATGGCAACATCCTATATATGCATTGAGGTCCTGAGAGATTTTATTCTAAGCTAAAACTGTTATACAAATGTTCACCCTAGTGAAATAGCAATACAAAATCTATTTACTGGAGCCACGTCTTCCAATTGTCCATTTCCAATATAAAAAAACTATTATTAAAAACTATTTTAAAGATATTATAAGCAGTTAAATAAGAGGAAGAAAAGCTTCTAATTTTATATTCATCAACAGTAGTTTGGATAATATCTATGTCTCCCTTTACCTGTATACAAAAATAGCAGCTGCTGACATTGGAATCTATTACTTAGGAAACACACTAAGTGGTATCAAGTCACTGTAACAAGAATGCTAAAAAAAAATCATCTTCAACAAATGGTGTTGGCATAACTGGATGCTGACCTGTAGAAGACTACAGATAGGTCCATATCTATCACCATGCATAAAACTTAAGTTCAAATGGATCAAATAGCTCAATGTAAATCCAGCCACACTAAACCTCTTAGAAGAGAAAGTGGTAGGTTCCCTTGAAAAAATTGGTACAGGAGACTGCTTCCTTAACATAACACCAGTAGCACAGACACTGATGTTGACAATTAATAAATGGGACCTCCTGAAATTGAAAAGTTTCGGTAAGACAAAGGACAAAGTCAAAAAACAAAACAGCAGCCCACAGAATGGGAAAAGATCTTCACCAATCCCACATCTGACAGAAGGCTGATATCCAAAATATACAAAGAACTCAAGAAACTAGTCACCAAAACCACCAAGTAATCCAATTAAAAAGTGGGGTACAGAACTAGAGAATTCTCAAATGAGGAATCTAAAATGGCTGAAAGTCATTTAAGAAAATGCTCAACATCCTTAGCCATCATGAAAATGCAAATCAAAACAACTCTGAGATACCATCTTATTCCCATCAGGATGGCTAAAATCAAAAACACCAAAGGCAGTTAAGGCTAGAGAGGATGTGGAAAAAGAGGTACACTTCTCCACTGCTAGTGGGAGTGCAAACTCTTACAGCCACTTTGGAAATCAGTGTGGCAGTTCCTCAGGAAAAATGGGAATCAGTCCACTTCAAGATCCAGTAATTCCACTCTTAGGCATATACCCAAAAGATGCACATTCATACAACAAGGACATCTGTTCAATTATGTTCATTGCAGCATTATTTGTAATAGCCAGAACCTGGAAGCAACCTAAATGTCCCTCAACTAAAGAATGAATGGAGAAAATGTGGCACATTTACACAATGGAGTACTACTCAGCAGGGGAAAAAAATGGAATCTTGAAATTTGAAGGCAAATGGATGGAAACCATCCATAGTGAGGTAACCCTGTCACAAAAAGATAAACATGGTATGTACTCACTCATATATGGTTTTAAGACACAGAGCAAAGGATTACCAACTTACAAATCCACACCACCAGAAAAGCTAGGAAACAAGGAGATACATATGTGGTGCCCTGGAAAAGAGGAAAGGGACAAGATCTCCCACGCAATTTGGAGCATGGTGGAGGGAAGAGGGAGTTAGGGATAAGAGGAAGGGAGAGGTGGGCATGAGGGAGCAGAAATACTGAGTCAGGTTAAGAATAGAGGAGAGCAAGAAAAGATATACCATAATAGAGGGGACCATTATAGGTTTAAAGAGAAATCTGGCTCTAGGGAAATGTCCAGAGATCTACAAGGATGACCACAACTAACAATCTAAGCAATAGTAGAGAGGCTACCTTAAATGCCCTTCCCCAATAATGACATTGATAACTACCTTATATGCCATCCTAGAGCCTTCATCCAGTAGCTGAGGGAAGCAGAAACAGACATCCACAGCTTATCAATGAGCCAAACTCTTGGAATCCAGTTGGAGACAGGGAGGAGTGATGAGCAAAGGGGTCAACACCAGGCTGGAGAAACCTGGTGTTAATTGGGAGGACTGGGCAAGCTATAGGGTCTCTGGGAGTGGATCAGTATTTATCCCTACTATATGAATGAACTTTGGGAGCCCATTCCACATAGAGGGATACTCCCTCAACCTAGACACATGCAGGGGGGCCTGGGCCCTGCTCCAAATAATAGGACAGACTTTGAAGACTTCTCATGGAAGTCCTCACCCTTGCTGGAGAGCAGAAATGGGACAGGATAAGGGTTGATGGGGGGGGACAGGGGAGGATTGGAGGGTACGGGAACTGGGATTCATATCTAAAATAAAATATATATATTTTGCTAAAGTGCCCTTGAAGGTATAATTAATCAATGCATAAGGAAAATGTGGGCTGCTTATATTCTAGCTTGTACATATTATAACTACTCATTCAGTGAATAGAACTGCAGAACAAAAGGCTGACAAAGTAGCACACATCTGACCCTGGCTACATAAGACGCCGAATAGCATGATCTTTTGAGTCTAAGCATATGAGACGACACAGAAGACTCAAACCAACAAACAAATAAAAACATCAAACAAGCAGAATTACAAAATTCTAATGCTGCAAGGGACTGTCTTATCTAACCCCATTACACATAAAACAAGGTATACCAAGTCAAAATTATAAGAATAAGTTAATTTGTTATCATGATTTATATACTTGGACTCCTAATATACCTGCCACTATAAATGAAAATCCATTTCAAAAGTCATACAAGCTGCTATCCTGTTGGGACACGGTCGGTCCAAGAATGGAGTTGTATGAGGAGAATTGTGAGTGCTTGTGAGAAGAAAAAGGCAAGTGTCTTGTGACCTCAGTTTCTTCAAAAACATGAAATTGTTCTTGAAATGTGTTTTTATGCACCTCCCAGGTATATCAGATAGGAGTGAGTTTACTTCAGATTATTCATTACAACTAGCTATTGTTATTTGTTTATATACATGTATGTAAAAATACGTTTTGCCTCTTTCACCTTGGCCATCATGTGCAGCCTGTCCTTGTGATGGAACTCGTGTGATTCCTCTTAACCCTCAGAGTATCAAATGTCGGATGCTCTGAATAAAGTTGACTACTGCATGAGACTTTACTCTGTCTCATTTATTGGTTCCCTCCTCCCAGGTTTACTCTCTTGCGTGGTAAACACCTTTGCACCTTTCATTGGGAAACTACTCGAACCCTTTAGAAACTATCACCCGTGAACTCTTTAGTCGGTGAGAAAAATGAAAGAGCTAAAATTAATCAGGTTCTACCAACTTGAGCAGAAAAGGTTTTTATCTAAACTGGTTTTTACAACCCTGCTAAATAGCAGACCACCTACAACAGTGGTGATTTTCAGTGTGTGGAATGGTCGGATGAATGACTCTTCTGAGAAATCCACTTGACAAAGAAGAAGAAAGTGTGGGAGGAAATCTGATACCACCTCATTTGCCAGTTTGTAGTGTTTTCCTTGGCAGGGAGCTGTATTTATCTACACATGGCGTCACAGCAGATTGTCACCACAGGGTTTCTACCTGGTTCTCTCTAGAATAGGTGCCACCTTACAGGTTTCTATTCTGAACATTCTGAAAAGGCAACATGGCTGTGAAGAACTTGCCATTGGCCAAGTTATTTCTGTCCTGCATAAGCATTTACAAAGCCCTCCTTCCCTTTTCATTGTACCTTTGACTTATCTTACATCACACAGTCGTGGAAACACATGCTGCCATGTGGGATGCGCAACAAGCCTGGAGACTTGCTCCATTCTCTTGCTTCTGGTTTTCTCTTAGTTTTCTCAATTCATATGACGCTATAGAAGGTTAAATGCCTTACCATCCAGATGGTCCACATAACAATACACGTCATAGGTTTCGTGGGGAGAGCGGAATCCATAGGTCCTGACCCCTTCCTTCCCCATCATGTCTCCATAACAGCCTTCTCTGGGGGCCCTTATGGGGTATCTAGGGAAGCAAAGGAGACATAAGTGGCACCGACACTGGCAAATTAATACTTAAAAGCTTTTGGGCTCAGGCCTCTTACCTAACAGTTTGATCAGACAGCCATCCTGCATCACACTGCTCAAATCCATCTTCATAGGCGGCAAAGAGCTGCTCTGGGGTTGCTATGACTGCTCCAATGTCCAAACAAGCCTGTTGCGCAGCTGCAAAGTTCAGAGTATATCTACTGGTCGCTGCCCTGTAGTGAAATACAACTCCTGCAAAGAAAGCAAACCAGAGACTGCTTCAGTGCTCAAATTCCCCACTGTATCGTGCAAAATTTCAGAATGACATAACATACCAATTATTATTATGATCATAGCTACTTGGTTTTACTATGCAAAATTTGTAGATTCAGGGACTCAATGCCACTTATCTAGGGGTCCTATTCCTCATGCTACATCCTTGAATCATGCAGCATTATGACATTTAGTTTCACAGATAGCATGATAATATAGAAACTATGCCAGGATATATGTGTGACAATGCCTATTTCACTCATCACTTTGCTTATAAACTAATCCAACTCTCTGAATCTTGGTCTCCTGTCTTATCCAGTAGACCTAATATTTACTTGATCTGAAGGTTGGGTAGCTTGCAATGCATTGTCCAAACATGCACCATATCCACTGCCTGGCTCATATTATTTTTGTGTCTGCTATGACTGATACAAATATACAATTTCCTTGCCAACAGAGGTCCAAAAAAAAGTTCTCCACGATCCCCAAGTACAAGCAATGCATGTTTACCTCGTTTCACTTTGTCATATTTTATATACGGCTAAGGAAGCAGTTAAAAACTATGCAGCTAAGGGGCAGAACCGTTGGTCCTTTCTTCTCACTTCAACATGCTATCCATTTTTATCAGGAAGAAATATGATTCATCAAAATGAGTCTAACTGATATGTCGGGGAAGTTACCACAAACTACAGAGTGGACTAACTGAATTTTGTAAGTAAAATCTTATCAAGTCATAGTACTATTCAAGACCACCTTTCATTGTTGTTTGAAATGAATTGTGGTTTTCAAGATATCCGTCACGCTTCTCTGACTCCTTAGTCATTTCCTGGATTTGACAGATCTGTCTTCCACAGTCACCCTAGCTATCAGACTCTCTTGTGTTGTTCTTCATATTGTGTCTCTGTCCCAAGACAAGCCAGCAAAAGAACTGAGGAAGAACAGAATAGCCATCTTGCAGATAAGCCTGTTATCAGTGCCCACACAAAGGGAGGTGTATAGTATCTCACAGATGTAGTAACTGGCAAGCAGCATTTCTTTTCCTGTTTCTGATCTTTTGCGTCTCAAAATGTCACCAAATACCAATCTGTACCTTCATGTGGCTATTGCAGTTAAATAAGGATCAGATAAACAAATAGGCCAAATGTTTATTCAGGGAGAAATAACTTACAACCTAGACAGATGAACACCAGGGAATTCCACCCGATGCTCTCCTGTCCGAGTCACGCCAAAAAGAGAGCTTTTCCCAGCTCTCTCTCTGACCTCCTTCCACAGGTCACTTCTGCCCATGGCTCCACCCCCCAATGGGCGTGGTCAGTACCACAGAAGAACTATTTCACTACAATTCCCCTTTTAGTCTAAAGAAAAGATTTAGGCTTAATACAAAACTATATACAAAACAGTGTATAACAAGTTTGCTCCTGGTAACACCACCTGCATCAAAAAGGAAGATGGACATTGAAGAAACTCCTTATGGAGTTTACTTCCAGTATGGCATGACTAGCCATTTGGACAAGATACTGCTCTTGTCTGGACTGTTTGACTTTATGCTGTATAAACTGGACATTCAGGACCCACAGAAAAGTGACTGCTGATTCAAGATGGACATTGCTACAGCGTTCCTGCTTCATGGAAGAGTCTGCCAGACAGTCTGCAGGACACAGAGAAAAGAGACTGACAAACTACCAATATAAGAAGACAGTTTAAAGTTTCCTGCTTTGCTGAAGAGTCTGCCAGACACACTATGGCCTATGGGCTGAAGATGGAAGATTACAAAAGAACTTCGGGTGACCAGGCAGTGAGTTGTCTCTGTCATTTCTAGAGTTTATAAATTATCCTTCTGTGGTCTTCGATGGAGTTGAAGACAGATAGTTATGGTTATAGCTTTCCTTAGTTAGGCTTAAAGATAAGTTACATATATGACTTTAGACTCACAAATATAGGATAGATGATAGAATAGTTTATTTTAATCTTGCTAAATGTTAATGGACTAAATATTGTTAACTGTGATTCTTATTTGATAACTGTTATATGATATATTTTGCTATGTTAAGGTTAAAACCCTTCTTTTTATTTAGACAGAAAAGAGGAGATGATGGGAGATGCCATTATGTATATGTGTTTCTCATACTGGTTAATGAATAAAGCACTGTTGGCCAATAGGAAAGCAAGATAGGCGGGACTAGGAGACCAGGAGGAAAGAGGAAGTAGTAAGAAGGAGAGTAAGAAGGAGAGTCAAGATGGAGAGTCTGGAGAAAGCAGTATGCCGGCCAGCTCCCCAGTAAGAGAAATACATAGATCAGCAGAAATGGGTTAATACTTAAGACAGAGCTAGCCGAAAAGAAACTAGCACCTGGCCAATAGCATTGTATCAAATACAGAGTCTCTGTGCATTATTTGGGGCTGGCGCGGCGGCGGGACAAGATTTGGCGGCGGGCGGAAAAAAACCATACTCCTTACATGTGGCCTCTCTAAAATTGTGTATAATTACATGTATACAATGTTTCTAGTAAGCATAGGAAATACCCTAAAATAACTTTTAAATTTTAAGTAGGAACTTGAATGGGTTTTAACTGGTTTATAGTGGCTAAAGTTTCAAGTAATCTTGGGAATTATAAATCTTCCACATATGGTGAGCACTGGTACTAAGAAGGGACAGAGCAGAGGACCTCCTTGCCTAAGACAAGGGACATCAGTCCATATGTAAATGTCTGCAATTGTTGAAATAACCTGATGACTTCATGTGGCTGAGAAGATTAGGTGAAGGATATTCAGTGTTTCTGAGCAGTAAGAGGCAAATGAATTGCTAAGTGTTTAATGATGAAGGTAAAAAAGGAGGAAGCTGTGAAACTGAGAATGTTAGTAATTGTGTGTGATATACATCTACATATACATACATCTACATATAGAAAGGTACAATCTTAGGCAAACTGAAATCAATAATGAGGAAATCAAGCATAAGAAGAGCTCGGAGAGTTAGTGGATACAAGGACAACAGGCAACAGAGGAATTAACAGAATTAATGATAAAGGGTTTGTTTGTGGCACCTGAAATTTAAACCATTTCCTTTTGGCTAAACAAGAAAGAGTTTTTAATAAAACTCCTTTTATGTATTTCTGAAAGGTAAATATTTTTATAGGTAAATTGAGAATTGGAGGAAAATCTGTTCCATCATGCCTAGGTATTCGAGTTTTGCTTAATAACTTGCCAACACTTTCTGCTTCCAAGCGCTGTGGCATTGTGTATGTGCCCAATTAAAGCAATTTCTCTTTGCTCTGTCTTCTAACTTAAGCTCATGTGACATATAAACCACCATTAAAGGGAGGGTAAAGGTAAAATGTGTTAATACACGCTTAATGGATAGCAACTAGTGATAAAATTACATTTCTTTTAAACTCTGATTTCTTGCTCTGAACCAACAGAAAATTTAAATATTGATTGCCTTTTTGAGACATTATTATATAAATCACAAATAGTTTGTCAATGTAACTTTTAAATGATATTTCTTGATACTGAACTCAAAGGCTTTTTTTACATTGAGTTAATATGTCTGTGTGTGCAGACATGGAGGCATGGATAAACCCATGCCCTACTACCACATGGGCTCCAGGAATCAAACTGAGCTTGGCAGCAAGTCTCTTTCTGCTGAGCCAACTCAGAAGTGCTCATTCATGATCAGAGTAAGGAGGCTGAGGTTGTAGTTCACAGAGAGCTTGCCTAGCAAACATAGGGTTTGATCTTCAGCACACCCAAATATCACACTAAGAAAATTCAGAAAAAAACAGAAAAGTTCTACATCCATGTAGGTATGTGCACCCATATCTGGCACTTAGAATGAAAATGTCCCCTAGCTGTTTATATGTTTAAATCCTTTGCCCCCAGTTTGTGGACCTGTTTGAGGACGAGGAAATGTGGCCCTGGTGGAGAAGATATGTAGCTAGGGCGGGCTTTGACTCCAAAGGCCCACACCATTCCTAATCAGTTTCTGCCTCCTGCTTGAAGATAAGACTGTAAGCATCCAGCCATAGTTCCAGCATCTGGCCTACTGACCTGTGGGCCTAATGTGTGATCTCTGGCATGATGGTTATAACCCGTTGTAACTATGAGCCCCAAATTAAACATTTTCTTTTGTAAGTTGCCTCGGTGAAGGTGTTTTTTCATGGCAATCAAAAAGCAACTAAGACAGCAAATATACACAACATCAAAATTAAAGTGAAGAATAGCCTCTAAAATATTCTAGTGCAATGACCAGTGCACTAAAATAATGATTTAGGAACTATGTACTATGTTTTGAGGTTTTCATTATTTCCAGTATATTGTATATGCCTAGACTCAATCAATAAAGCTGCTTCACAAAAAGTTATCTTTTTTTTTCTTTTTGTGAGACAGTATTTCTCTGTGAAACAGTCAATTCTGGCTGTCCTGGAATTCACTGTGCAGTTCAAGCTGGTCTCGAACTCCTAGAGATCCACCTGCCTTTGCCTCCCAAGTGCTAGCATTAAAGGTGTGCACCACCATCGCTCAGCTCTCTCTCTCTCTCTCTCTCTCTCTCTCTCTCTCTCTCTCTCTCGGTATGCGCGCGTGCATGTGTGTGTGTGTGTGTGTGTGTGTGTGTGTGTGTGTGTGTGTGTGTGTATAGCCCAGGCTGGCCTTGAACTTGTGTTCCTGCTGCCTGCCGCTGCCTCCTCATCCTTCAGCAAATCCTACAAGCATGCACCTCCATAACCGAAAAGTTACTTGTCTTTAATGACTAAGTTTGTTTTCAATGAAAAACAAAGATTCTTGGATTGATGTGTTTCCCACTTGTTCATATCCTGAACAAGAGATATCCTTTCTTGGGGATCATGCTCCAACTGTTTTTACAAATCTGAAACCTTACCATCCACAGCCAGTGACATGGTGTCCTGAGTGTCTTCGATCCCATACATGACGTCACAGCGGTAGACACCTGCATCACTAGCACGGAGTTTAACCATGGTGAGGGAGGCATCACCCACGTCCTCAGGATGTGTAAGCACTGACACTCGCCCTTTGTAGTCCTGCCCGATCTTGATGTTCCCATTCTGGGCCACCAGCACAGTGGTCTCCTTTATGTCTTTTCCATTTTTGTCTGCTTCCATCTTAGACCATTTGATTCTGAGATGTTCACTCATGTTGTAATTGGGTGGTAATGTAGGCATGGTAGAAAAATGACAAGGTAGGCTCACTTTTCCGGACAGAGAGCCTTTAACAGGTGGGCTTTTTTCCATTTTCCCTAGAGGAAAGACAACATATCAGATTAATATTCCTGAAAAGCTGAAACTGAGTCTATTGAATGTGTGAATAGATAGGCAACAGTTAGAGATCTTTCATTGCATCTCAAGTGTGTGGAAAGCCAATTTATATAAAGAAAATAGCATGGCCCTTCAGTAATGCTTTATAACAATGATAGGGGTTAATGATGTTCATCTTTGTACACTGAAATGCAGAACTCATTTGAAAGCATTTGTCACTTGGTATTTAACATGGCCGGGGGGTGGGGGGGTGGGTAGAATGAGGCAAGAACAAGTAAAAATGAAGGACAGAAAACAACAGGGCAGGCTAGAATCAATAACATTGTCTAAAATAGATGAGACCAAGCTCGGGTGGTGGGTGCTTGTGCCTATAATCCTAGTACTCAGGAGAATGAGGCAGGGGCATCGCAGTCTAACATACACCACAATGAAAAAGATCAATCCTCTCCTCTCTCCCTCTCCCCCTTTCTCTGAAAAGAAATTAGGCTGGTGTTCAGAAAAGCAGTTGAAGTGGGGGAAACTTAGGTTTACAGATCAGAGGGGGAGAAATCATTTAAGACAACTGCCACATATATTACTTTAGGAAAATATAATATAAAATAATATTGGAAGACAAAGTTAGAATTCTAAACGGTACTTGGGAAGACTAGAGAAAGAGCAAGGCTCATATTTTAAGAGCCCTCTACTTAGGCCAGCAATTGAGGCAGGCACATTTCCAAGGCCAGCCTGAACTTGTTACACTAACAGGTCAGAGATGAGAATCATTTAAGGTAACTACCACATTACCTTAGAGAAAATAAAAAAAAAAAAAAATTGAAAGAAGAATTTCAAACAGTACTTCATGAGACTGGAGTGAGGGCAAGTCCAGTGTTTGAAGAGTCCTCTTTACACCCTTGTTTCAACCAAGGGCTCCATCATAATGACAACTCCAGCTGCAATCACTTTGCAGAGAAACACTGCCTTTCATTATCCCTGGGCGGGAAAACCAGCTTCTGTTCACCTAACCTGCCTGACATACTTATTTCTGCTTAAGCTCTTAAACATTTAATGACAAAGGGTATGCTGTTACAATTTAACACCGCTGCATGAAAGAGAAAACACCCAGTCTTGCTTCCTGGAATTCATCCCCCTCACCCCAGCCCTTCTTCCGTTTCCCAGCTTCCACTAACTAGGCTGAACCAGGTGTTAGAAAGGGCAATCATTATTGTTCTTAAACAAGCAATGCTCACTTCATAAAATGATGGCCAAAATTAAGTGACACTGTGACTTTTAACTACTAAAATGTTTGTTCTATTGTTTTTTTAACATCATGCAAATTATCAGAGAAATATGTGTCCCCATGTAGACAAGTTGAGTCATTTTTAAAATTACAGAAATATATTATTACTTTTGAGAAAAAATTATGTTGCCAAAGACAAAAATTTAACTTTAAACATATTGGGCCTAAAGTGGGCACAGTGGCTCATGTTGGCAATCCCAAGACTTGAGGCATTGGGATAAGTGACTCTCCATTAGCTGGAGACCAACCTATGTTACACAGAAAATTTCAGAGTTGTCAGGACTGAAAAGGGATACCCTGTCTCTTCCTCCCAAAAATAAGATTAATATAATATTATGTCTGGTGTATTTATAATAAATATCATGCATTTATTCCAAAATTATAATGACTGTTACTTTCAGGACTAGTTTATCATTCCAATACATATACATACATACATACATACATACATACATATGTTAGCCAAAAGATACTTAGCAAAATTAATACTAAAAATGAAGTGAGCTATTGGCTGCACTGAGCTACCCTTTAAAATGCTAAGATTTTTTTTTTGTTATTGTATTAGTGAGGCAACAACCTCATTTCCATAGCTAAGAAAATAAAAGCTCTAACTTAGGTTCACCCTTTGAAATGAACCTGATTTCTTGATGGAGAACCCCCTGAAAGGAAGTGGCAAACTTCCAGCTGGCTGGCAACACACCTGAGCCAGAACACGGACCCTATTATATCTAACCAAACAACTTTTTAGCACTGGCATTTATTAACTCCCTCTCGTGGCCCTAAATTCATCCACATGGGCAGCCCTCATTTCGTCTCACTCTCTAGACACCTGCTTTAGTCACTGCTAGAATGGAGACCTTTAGTGGTTTCATGGTCTCTTTCATATATTAAGTCTGTGGAAGACATGCTAAAAGTGACTCTACTCATTCACATTTCTTCATTTTAGAATCAATTAAAAGGATGCCAACATTTCTGTTTTATTTGTTTGTTTACTTATCTATCAAGAGCAGGGATTCTAAGACTTGTGAATTCTGTACCTAAAAATTAAATTTACACTTATTGTATGTTCTAGGAGTTCACACTTTCCATCCTAAAGAATCACTTAACACAAATAAAATTTAGTAAGATTACCACAAATATGTTGGTTTGTTTTTAATAGAGAAAGAAACAATTTTATAATAGTATAGGGTAGATAATCCCTAATTTCTTAATAGCCATTTCTAAATTACAATTATTTTCACAATTATAAAAGCATAGGGGAAGACATGGGATTCAATCAATCCTATCAAGTAGAGTTGAAATATGGAACGTGGTTTAATCACTACTGCTGTGATGAAGGGCACATTGGAACAAAAGCCAACGTCTCAAGGAATGTATACTGTTCTGGTTATTCATAAACACACAGATATTAAAACCTTGGCTCTGAAATGAATATAAGCTTACATAGAAGCCAATCTTCAGAATAAAATTAACCAAAAGATATGTGGACAAAACTTTTGAGCTTTAAGAATTGGGTATGAATTCACTGGGTCACAAGAACCAAGTTAATCACATCTAAATATTTTAAGTGTTATTTTAGTAGTCTGAAATATAATGTAGATGAAGTATGTACATTTAGAAAAAATCTTCTACATGCAAGAACTTGTCTGAATCTAGGAAAAAATGTACTGACAAAAACAATGTTTACTGTTCTCACAGATGGTTTTTCGTCTACATATGGGAGAAAGCACTGTGTAATGAATGAGCCATTACTCCTTATCCTGTGCACAGACTGCACAGTAAAAATGGTGTAAATTCCATCTGTGTAGAGGGAGAAAGGGCCCCCCCAGACAAATATCAGATTGAGAATATTGGGATTTATTACATTCTTGTTCAATTCATGGCCTCACAACACTCTATTCTATTTTGTACTATTAGAGGAATATTCAAATAAGTGGGTAAATTATCAGTAATTAATAAGATTTGCTAATGCAATTGTTAAATGCATTGTTAAAGCAAAGTGCTAAAGCCAACAAATCAGTATGACATGCTGTTCGTTAATGCGAGTCACCGATCTTTAGAATCCTGTGGCCTACCAGAGCAAGACACAGAAAAGCCTGCATCACCTCAGCAAGTTGATGTTGCCCGTCCTGCTATGAACTAGAGAAATGTGTTTTATTTGGATCTTAAACTTGTATACTTTTTGTTTCTGCCTCTCATAGGAAAGAACTCAATATTCCCCTTTAGCTAAAAGTTGATTATGTATATTATAAATAATGGGGCCTCAAATGTAGTAATCACATGATATTGTTAGCTCTTACTGTTTCCTAATTCGATGAAGGAAATACACCATACATTGTTTTGTTCACTATGTGAGTCTCTATTTCAAACAAGGGGTATCTTATTGTGACGGTCACTGTGCTCCCTCTTCCATTATTAGCCACCCAAACCTTTCTGAATCCTTTCTACCCCCTGACTCCACTGAGTACTGTTACTCTTTCCTCGCTGGTCTCTTTATCTCTTTCTTGGAAACTTCTAAGAAGATATTTTTTGGTGGTATTATCAGATGCTGGTGCCTCGGATCCCCATCCACATGGCCACCACCAGAAGTTACTTATGAGTTTTACATTCAGGATGCCACAATAATCATCCAAATCAATTCCTTGCCACCATCCCTGTTCTCCTATAATCAAATCTTTACACAACAATAACAAAAGGTTTAAAGACTTTAATGCTACATGTCCTCTGTGGACTGGAATTCTTTAGTGTATGTTTGTGCAGACAGAATAAAATCTTATCTTCTAAAAAAACTTATACTGCCCTAGATAGATAGGAAGTGTGAGACAATGGTGAGGGCTATGTATGCTTCATGGCTTGCCTTCTTCAGCCCCTCCCTCTGATACTTACTGGATGTGGAAAGCAATTGTTCTTCTTGGCACTTCAGTTTCCTCTTTATAGCGCATGGGTAATGGATGTTTTGGTTAACCAACGTTAAGCACTTCAAATAGCTTCCAGCTCTCAGCGAATCCTGTCTACGTGACTAGTGCTGCTTCTATTTATATCAGCTGATCTCTGCTTATCAGTCTGCCTATATCTCCTACTTTCCTTTTGATCTCTACTGTCCAACAAGAGTGACTTTTTCCTGTTGCTCACACAAGTTTATCTTTTTAACTTAAGGGCAGATCTTAGCCGGTTGGTGACACTTCATTCTATTTCAGCTTGCATGTCACTCTCTCAGAGACCTCAACCAAAGCCATTCTCTATGATGTCTTTCTGCTTTGTTTTCATCATCAGAAAATATCTACGAAGGTTATCTGTTTGTTTACTTCTGGTGCATATAAATTTTAAGTTTAGTAAAAACAAAATTCACAGTGTCCACTGATATATCCCTCGACACATAGGATAATACCTGATACAAAGAAGGAATTCAAAAATATTGTCGGATGGATGGATGGATGGATGGATGGATAAATGAACAGATGATGGGGAGATGTTTAAACCTTCAGTCCTGAAGAATTAATTAAAATATAACTAAATAGAGCCACAGAAGAAGTGTCAAGCAAAAGGTATCACATGTGGGAAGGAGGAAAGACAAAAGTCTGTGGGTAGGCAAATTATTTCAGAAAGTCTGGAGCATCAGTGTACAGAAGAAGTAGAAATTAAGCATGCAGAGTATACAAAGTAGAAGCAAATCAATGAAGCTCGACATGGGCTCTTCAAATTCTTCATTGTGTCTCCTTGATTACACCAAAAACTAAAGTGAGAATTATAGAAGCCTCACTAACTAGGTATAAAGTTAAAGCTAAGAAGTACAGTGCCTGCACACACACTTGCCATTTACCTTTCCATAAACAAAGACAAAGGGGGATGGTTAAGGATACTCGCTGGCAACATTGTTTAATTTTCCTAACTTAAAACTCTAGAATTGCAGGCTTAATTTTCTTTTTGGTATAAGGAAGTCTTTAAATAACCATACAGAAGAAATTAGAATTTTAAGTATTCTCAGTGTTTGAAAGAGCTTTTTTACACAGTTCAATGTGGGGGGGGGGACTAAACATGATAAAACATATTAGTAACCTAGAATTTGTAAGGTTGGAGTAGGAGAACCATGAATTTGACATTAGCTGGACTATATAATGAGACACTGTCTCAAAAAATAATTAAAAACAAACAAACAAACACACAAACCAAAAAAACAAGACAAGTGATCTATGAGGTTTCTTAATGCTTCACTCACAAGTTTGTTATTTTGGTCTAATTGACATATTGAAAATACTACATTCATTAATACTTTAAGTAAAAATCTTAAGCAATGCATAGATTTTTTAAAATGATTCTTCATTGTATGATCCGATATTAAAATTCCATTCCCTAGTGGGTTTTTTTTCCACATATTAATACAGAAAGTATTACTCTACTTACCTTTTTGCAGTGCATGGGTTACTAATAAGGTTGAGCATATCCATAAGATGCTTTTCATATTTATCAACATCTTGCCCTAGAAATGAAGAAAAACAAAGTATACCACAAGTATTTATGGTGGTGGCAGGCCATAAACCACTGGGTGCATTAAAAGAGGCGGTTCTCTGCGGACTGTGCAAACAAGGGGCTTCTAATAGAAGATATCACAACACTCTAACTATTAATTTGAACTACACTTCAGAAAATAGTTACCAAGATAATTCCAAGCCCCTGGTGTGGGGACTTATAACCCAAGGCTTATACAGGTAACCTCAGGATAACCAGAGCTAGGTAGGCCACAGAAAGAACATTAGAAATGAGTGTCTGTGTGCATATGCTGAAGAGCCGGTATAAAGAGGATGAAATAACCTCAGAATCTAATTAGAATGAGGATAGTGGATGTGAACTGAAGGAGAAAATGCTGACGAAGACGCAGAGGAGATTTTGCAAGCCCAAACTTTGCATCAAGTCCGTGGTGAGAAGGAACTGACTGATGGCCCTGGTCGATGTTATCACCAGCAAGAATGAGGCCTTCAAAAGGTTTTGTTGTAGTGGAAACACAAACACCACTGACTGTCTAGCTGGCTGAACAAACAAAAATAAATGTATGCCAAAGAGCTGCTAATTCCAAAAGTGACCAGTTTTAAAGCACTCTCAACAGCTTTTAAGTCTCAAGAGCAAACAATGAAAGAAGATATTTTTCACTTGAAGTCGGGAAACACTGACCTTGGATTAGCTACTAATTTACTGTGTGCTTTGGGAAAGACATTTAACAATCTGAGTCAAAAAAGGGCCCTTCCATGTCTAAATTTACAGAAACTGGCCTAGTAAGGATAAGTACCAGGATTGAGGGTTGTTAGTGTTTCCATTTAAATCTATCTCAATTTGAAGTTTGAAGATTTGGGCCTGAACTTGGCTTTGTTGGAGTTGGAGAAACTTAGAGATGGTGCCTAGTGGGTGTTCTCAGATAGTCAATGCTGAGTCCTCAAAGGGAATGTGCACTGTGGATCACTTCCTCTTGCTGTTTACTTTCCCACTGGCTTCTCATGAGCAGCCCATTCATTCCACCACATGCTCCCACACATGATATGCTACCTGGCCACAGGCCCACAAACAAGGCCAATCAATCATGTACTTCATCCTCCAAAACTGTAGTCAAAGAAACCTCCCTTATATGTTTAAGTTGATTGTCTAGGCTTTTTGTTTTAGACTTGAAAGCAGACTCACAGGCATATTGTTGTTTGAATATATTCAAGAACATTTTGTTACTTGCAGCCAAAGATATCTTCACTGGCTCATATGTAAGTTGGTACCTTATGGAACCCCCTTTGGCTACTTTAGAAAACAAATTCTGTATTACGTAGGAAACCTGGACTGGAATAAGTAAATGACAAAGGAATACAAGTCCAGTTTGTGCTCAAATATATTTTAATACTCCATGACAGGTACTCATTTTCCTTTAATAATATTCTGTTTTTTATCTGATTATATAAATCTCAAAATACACGCTATACCAAACTAAAACAAAACTATAAAATGCTTAGCTTATGGATTTATAGCTTTACCCGTGTCTTGATGGCCTGACAGTGGTTCAGAAATAAGAGATACTAATTTCATAGACAAGATGAGCATTTGGATCATAAAATGATATTAAATATATTTAGTTATGTATTTAATTTAATCCAAATTAATAATAAATATTAATTTAATCCATATAGAAATCCTTCACTTAATCATACTTCTAAATACTTTGTTTCTTTAAGGAAAAAGTGGCCTCTGCATTTAGTCTTCTTCTTTTTTTTCAGGAAAGCTTTATAAAGTATTTTTTAATGTTTGGGCTCCACTATTAAACAGTCTTGAATTCAAATTCTTCATTCTCTACTTATACTTTCAGATTATAAGTAAATGGATATGCCTCTCTGAAATTTATTTCTATAGTTAAGGATGAACATTAATATGCATTATAGAAATGATTGAAAGACCTGAAAATATTGCCCATGAAATAGCCTCACTCATATCTAATATAGTGAGTCTATATTGGTTATTAACAAAATTAGTAACAAGTTTTCTATAGATGCTCTATTATTTGCTTCATGTCACTAATAATAAAGAATTTGAAACCAAAATCATACTTTGGGTCATCTCTATAATAGCAGTTTATAATGTTATGTTTATAATAAACTGCCATCATTATCACTGATTTTAATTATTACTTTAAAATATATTTTACAAAGAGGTGGCTCAGTGGGTAAATGTACCTTCTGTGAAGACTGATGACATGAATTTTGTCCCCTAACTACTTGTTAGGAGAGAACTGTTTCTCTCAAGTTGTCCTCTGACTTCTACATGCTCACTGGGGACATTTGTATACACCCATAAATAAACATAAATGTAATAGAATATGTTTTATATCTACTACAAAGAAGTAGGCTTCTAGAAGGCGAAGCTACTTAGGAATCCATACAATATTGTACAGAGCTAAGTTCAATACCATGTGGAGAGGGTTAGTAGGCCAAATGTGTAATCAATACTCCCACTTTGAAGTACCAGTTATGAATGTGAGCATGTCTGTAGGGCTAATTGAGGTTTGAAACACATGAAACTGTCCAGCTGAATATTAATATACATAATAATAAAATGGGACGCATCAATATTCAGACAGTCTAATGTTATAAAACCAAAGGAAAATGATGTGATCCTGACTCTGTATATCCTCTGCATTCTTATTTCCTGCCCAGGAAAATGCTCAGAAACATAACTCTTTATATATGCTTATTGCTTATAAACATGTCTTTTTTTTCTAAAGCAAAGAGAAAAATCTGTCTTCAACTCTACAGCATTGAATTCAACCCTGCCCATTGAATCTAAACTAAAGAAATAAAATCAATGCCTTAAAAACATACAGATGAAAAATGTTTGGGATTCACTGGTATGAGTTACAAAAAATGTGCTTGAATAAATTGTTCCAAAGTAAATACAAGAGCTCTCAAACTAATTTCCAGATCTCCCACTGCATTAGAAAATGACCCAGACGGTCCAGTGATAGGTTTGTATTCTGGCTGTCCTGTCATAAGCAGTAACCATACAGCAGCCTCCCAATTTGGGCTTTGTGCTGGAGGTCACAGGTGTTCCAGCTGGTCTCTCCTCTATCTCTACTCATGCCTGCTCATCAACACCTTTGCTACCCTCAAATTGAAGGATGGTCAGTCATGGCTTTGGTAACTATGTCCGAGAGCTCTTAATTGGGTGTTTCACAACTGTATTTCTATTGTCCCATCATCAGTATAGGTGAACATACATTTCCCTTTTTCCAGTTTTGTGAAACCTACACCTACGCCTTTAATTAAGTTACAGCCCACTTTTTTCTGCATTTGAGCCTATTAAGTGAGAAAATTGACTCTTTGTTTCCAGCATGCCTCCAGCTCCCATTTCTATTCTTCTGCTCCAGAATGTCTGTCTTGTGTGGTCTGTCAGTGATAGAAAATCTCTGTACATGGAAAGTCTGAGGAGATAAGGAAGCCAGCCATCTCTATATTTAGCCATATACTTCAGTAAAGTCAAAAATAGCAAAAAGTCATCGAACCATCAAGGCCCAGCTGACTACAGCTGTTTAGTTGCCTGGGAAACAAAAGACAAGGTCAACGGAACTTCTATCCCTGCGAAATGTTTGCAGAGAAGAGGGGCACCTCACACCAGGGATAGACTGCCAGGGCTCTATTAACTAGATATTTAGTATTCTCCCTCATTCTCAGGGAAGTCTAGAGGAGAAAGGGTAATCTAAGGACGAAGACACAATGGCTTTCTCTACCATCCTGCCAATCAGTTGTTCTGGCAACTAGTTGTCTTGGATACCTCAGTTACAAATTAGATATAGTAATCATTACAACATTATACTATAGTACTTGGTAGTATTAACTGTACCAGAGGAATTTATCATAGCCTGCACCGAGATTCCTGAGCCTGAACTGAGTTAAGATTTTTTCTTAGTGATGCCCTTTAGCACTCTGTTCTCTGTGGGTATAGTCTTGTTTCATTACTCCATCCTCTCCACACACTGTTTACCCTGTAACACATGGCACCACTTTGCTTATGTATCTGAGAATTATCTTCCTCTTTTAGCCAACACAGAAGCCTTAAGGGAAAAAAAACCCTCTACATTTTCTTCACTTGAGTGCTACAATCTCCAGGACATTCAGTAATTGTTTTAAAAAAATGAGTATGTACTTACTTATGTCATTAAATACACTTTCTCTACACTTTCCCCTTTTACTCCCTTCACTTAAGCCACACATTCCAAATCAGCAAATACAATTTTCCATGAATATAGTAGAAATGTTTACTCAGAAAATTCCCTGGAATGAATATTTAGATGGTTCAAAGTTTTTAACTATTAAAAAGTATTCTTCAAGCTGGGCGTGGTCAAGCACACCTGTAATCCTAGCACTTGGGAGGCGGAGGCAGGTGGATTTCTGCGGGTTCAAAGCTAGCCTGATCTTGAAAAACAAAGAAATATGCTTTAATCCATATATAGTAGGGCACACCTGCAAGTCTAGCCCTGGAAAGGCTGGATGAAGCAAGAAGATTAAAAGGCAAGGAGAGAACTAGGGTCCAGAAGGAATCTGAGACTTGAGTTGCCACACATGCAGACTCTTCCCTACAACAGACCAGTCCATCAATAAAGCACTGCAAGGAAAACTCTTTGTGAATCTATCCATCTTGAGTTATATTTCTACCATAATATCTCTAAGTAGAATTCTCAGGTGAAAGAAAATGCACACTTTTCAATATCTCTCGCTGGTATATTAAAAAAAATGTTTACTGATTATTTTCTCAAGGAAATGAACTTATTGAAGTTGTTATAATAATTTATAACTTCGGTTCTCTACAACCCAACCAACACATTTCCCAAACTGTTTTCCTTGTCTGACTGATGGAAAAAATTAAGCAGTGGTTGTTTCAGTTTTAGTGACTTTTTAAAAGATTTATTTACTTTACTTCATGTATATGAGTACTTTGCCTGTGCACATATATGTACAC